GCAACTGCATTTTTTTTCCCCTGAAAAGTCAACTTGATCCAGCTTAGTAATGGTGGCTGGATGAAGGGTACTACAAGTAGTCCTTGACCTACAACCATTCATTTAATGGCCGTTCATAGTTACAAAAGTCCTGAAAACAGTGACTTATGACTGGCTCTCCCCTTACGACTGTTGCAGTATCTCCATGATACATGATCAAAATTTAGGCACTTGGCAACTAGCATGCATGTGCAACAAATGTATCATCCCAGGGTCATGTGGTTGCCATTGGCAATTTTCCCAGCTGACCTCCAAGAAGCAAAGTCAATAAAAGAAGCAGGATTTGCTTAATGACCATGTAATTCACTTAAGAGCTTCAACAATTCATTTAACAACCATGCCCAAAAAAGGGTGATAAAGTTGGACTGGATTCTCTTAACAACCACCGTGCTTAGCAATGGAAATTCTGACCCCAGGCGTTGAGGACTATCCATGCTCCATCACCCCTACATTCATTTGATATAAATCAATAAATAGTCACTTGTTTAACTGTGAAGCCCAATATGTTGGTAATGAGGTGGTAATGAGGATGACCAATTTAGTGGGCTTTAAAAGGGGACCAGACAAAATGCATGCACAACAAGACTGCCAACATTTGCTTGCTTACTTACAGTTCAAGGTAGTATACTTTAATGCCATTTGAAAACAAAAGCGAAGAGATGAGAATGATCCCCAAAACAGAACCCATTGTATGAATTACAGGACGCATTTTATTAGCTGCAGAATGATACAAAGGCTTACCAAAATGGGTCACTGACTTTTCTTTTGTGTTTATATTTTTCTACTAATGCCCATGTTTAGAACAGGTCATAACACTGAGTTATACTAGAAATGTACACTAAATAAAAACACAATACAATAAAGCAACCTTTTAAAACAATGAAATGCACGGCAGCCCTGACTAAAGAGCTAGTTTAGTGTAGTGGTTTAGGTGCTGGTCTAGAAACTGGGAGACAGTGAGTTCTAATCCTGCCTTGGCCGTGAAAGCCAGCTAGGTGACTTTGGGCCAGTCACTCTCTCTCAGCCCAACAAAGGGTTGTTGTTGAGGGAAAAATAGGAAGAGGAGGAAGGAGTAGACTTACAGCCATTTACAAGTCCTCAACTTACAACTATTCATTTAGTGACTATTCAAAGTTACCACAGCATTGAAAAAGTGACTTATGACTGGTCCTTGCAGTTATGACCATCACAACATCCCCATGGTCACATGATCTAAATTTAGACACTAGGCCACTGGCATGTGTTTACCATGATTGCAGGATCTTGGTGTCATGCAATCACCATTTGCGACCTTCCCAACCAGCTTCCAACAAGCAAAGGCATTGGGGGAAAACTAGATTCATTTAACATCTATGTGACTCAATTAACAATTGAGTGATTCGTTTAACAATCATGGCAAAAAAAGATTGCATAAATCAAGCATGACTCAATTAATTGACTTGTTTAGGAATAGAAATTCTGGTCCTGGTTCTGGCCAAAAACTGAGAATTACTTGTATCTTCACAACCTTAAGTTGTGATAAAAGATAAAAGATTAGTTTAAAAAGAAAAAGAAAAAATCACTTTTATCTATCAACCACCCTAACTCTAGGAACCCACTGGCCCTAATTCCTGGGGGGCAAAGCTAGTTCTTCAATGCTTTCTGATGGCCAAGAGGCAGTGGCGCAATTCAGCCAGTTCAGCTGGAGGAGGCCTCCCAGGCCTAGAACAGCCCACCAGAAGTGCATGGATGCCACTTCCGGAAGTCTGTTCTAGGCCTCAGAGGCCCAGGCCTGCATTGTTCAGGTATTGGAATTCCACCACTGCAAGAGGTCAGTGCTATCCATATTTCTGAGGGGAAGCTATCAGGCCCCATGACAGAAAGGCATGCCTCTGAGATCTCACCAGGCCACACGGCTTCATCGAGCTTCAACGAGGGGCCCTCAGAGCATACCTACACTGGCAAATAAAATAGGGCAGGCAGAAATCATTGGAGACAGGCAGTCTTGCCCCATATCATGTAGGAGTTAAGAGAGGACAACCAGTCCCTTCAGTTGTACCTAGAGGTCTACAAGGAGCCAGTGCAACTCACACAAGAGTGGTGTAGCACACGGGCATATTGAGATGCGCTCATTAGTGCTACTATATTCTCAACCAGAATGCTCTTGGTAGAACATCAGGTGAGATGGACAACAAAAAAGGCTGATAAACAAACAAACAAATAAATAAATAAGCAAGTAAATAAATATTGTTACTGAGAGGCAACTAAAGCTTGATTTAGAGTCATCTGCAACTGCATGGAGGCATCGCCACGGAGAATGGGACAACTTGCCACAGCCAACTCACTGTGGCCATCTTGCCATGGGCAACTCACTGCAGCCAACTCACCACAGCCAACTTGCCATGGGACAACTCACTGCGGAACAATGTAACAATTCTATTTAATTATTTAAAATAAATAAAAAAATATTTCATTTTTTGTTGATCACATTTCATTCTGTCCCTCCCTTTGCATCCTTTCTTTAATGATTCTATTCCACCATTTCTTTGTTATTAGTGCAACTTTTGTCCAGCAACAAGTTCTCCTATAGCAAGTTGGCCATGGTGAGTTGGCCAGGGTGAAATGTCATAGGCCCTTGCCACATACCTATGCTGGAAAGAGGTTGATGGGTAAGCATAGATTGCAGATGGGTGCAGACAGGCTGATGTCCCAAAACCCAACTGCACATTGTGCAGAGATGCGAGTCCTGCATGTTGATTGGTTGGATTCAACTTCCTAAAACAGGGCTTTAGCACCTGGCAGGTGGCATGCGACCCCTAGCCAAGTGTATGAGGGGAGGAAATGAGCTAAAACCATGCCCCACAGGCCTGGAGGAGATCAGCTGGAGCTGCAGAAGCCCCAGGATCTGAGTGCACAGCTACACGCTGATTGGAGCTTCTGACGCACCTGGAAGAGAAAAGAAGGAAGAGGGCAGAGAGAGAAGAAGCTATAAAAGGAGCAGGTTTTGGCAGGAAAGGGAGAAAAAAACCACGCAGAGAAACAGAGAGAGAAGAGACTTTTGTTAGAGAAGCGGTGAAGAGAGGGCAAGTGGTCTTTGTGAGCAGAGTGAGTGAAAGAGCGAGCAAGAGGCTTTCATGAGTAAAGTATGAGTGAGTAAGAGAGCGAGTAAGTGGTCTTTTGTGAGCAAAGGGTGAAAGAGATGGGGGGCTTTTGTGAGCAGAGGGTGAGAGAAAAAGGGCAAAGTGAGGGAGAGAAGGGAAAAAGAAAAGGCATTGACTTCCGATTTCCTCTGTTGTGATAGAAGGAAGCATTAACACTGAACCTCAACTTTTTACTTTTCCATAATATTATAAACTAGCCATTTCTATAACAACAAATGAATTTAATCAGTAAATCCTAAAATCCCCCCCCTTTTTTTTCCCGTCATCCGGTTTTGACACCTTGCTAAGCACTGGTGGTATTTGAATATTGTCATGTCCTGAAAGTGGTACAATCTGTGAAAAGGTTGAAAAGCCCTGTCCTAAACACCAGGACCATTTCAGCACCCCCTAGCCATAATGGTAACATTCACAGACATATAAATGCAACATCTATGCAACAGACAGATACGTCCACTGACATGCAGTGGCAGAAAAGTCTAATCCAGGCCTAAGGATGAGTCACCTCATGAGCAGTGCCACTTGATCTGTTAGTCCAGCCCAAAGCTGAGAGGTAGGTGCGAGTTAATCAATAATCACACAGAGGTAGATGGAAACACATTAAAGCCCTCCCTTCACCTTTCAATTGAATGTTATCAACATTTTCGAGGACTACCTGTAATGATGCTGATGTGTTTTTTAAAATGGTTCTTCCCCCTTTTAAATCAGATGCACATGTACTGGAAAAATGGTTCTTGATCATGCCATTCACAACCCTCATAACTAGCCATATAAGTTCATTCCTCCTTTGCCAGCTCCAAATTCCAAGTTCTTTTCAGGTTATAATTTTTATAAGTCATTGCTCCACTGCTCTGATAGTGGTTGAGAGTTATGGAAAGTTTAGATTAATTCAAGTCACATTATAATGTGAGTTTACCCAATTTCACGCCTCCAGACTAACCTGTGAATCAAAACCTGGTTATTCTTGCAAATGTAAATGCTTCCCAATATCGCTATTTCAAATGTGTATAGAAAAGGTAATTTTGGGGGACAGGGTGTGCAAAAAAGTGCACGGATGTTGTCATATGAGAGCGGAATATTTGCAAAAATATGTGTATAGTTGTTAAGGAGTTTAAGAATAGTTTATCATGTCATGGGATTTTTTGCAGTCCATATCTGGTAACCGAAGTTCATCTTTCACCTTAAATGACTCTATGGAGACAAGATAGGAAGACAACTGATGAATCTTAGAATCATATGGAAAATAGCTCTTCTGTTAACAGTTTCCGAATGAGATGAAGTCCAGTTCAATCTCATAATTGCTGGAAAAGTGCTTTGCAGAACAAACAGATCCGTAAAATCAACCACAACTGCACCCAGTTGGGTTTTTTTTCCCCCTTCAGTTTTTTTCTGTAGCTACAAGTTTTCTCAATGGAAACAGCAATTATTACATTTTATTTTATTTGATCTTTTATTTCTCTATTTCTTTGCTTTCCTAGCACTTTCATTTGTATTTCTGAATTAAAACCATACTAATTAGGCACTCCACATCCAATATAAATAAAGCAACAGCAGGAGAAGAAAAGGAGGAAAGAGGCAAAGAAATTCTTTTGTTCTCTTTTTAGTTTATCTACTTTAGCCAAATTCAGAAATAATTCCCCACAGCTGAGGTTAACCTAGGTCATTTAATTTCTCAAAAGCTCAGTTTGGTATTTCAGAACAGAAATGTAGCATTGATTCTCACATACTTCAAATCTGATTCATACAACATCAGAGATATTTCAACATTTCATAGAAAAAAGCTAAGAAATTATATTGCCAATAGGCTTTCTTTTAGCCTCTCACTTGTTGAAACCAAAGGAAAGTTGGCTGAGCAACCCATCACAGCTCCAGAGTAGATATTCAATCAGTATTGTTTATGTGCTGTATTCTGATCCAATGTTTCTGTACGCTGAAGGATTACACATTGTTCAGGATGCATAGCAGCCAGTGACTCTGTATTCCAATGCTTCCACCTTAAAGAAAATATACAGAACAGGTTGCGTGCAAGACATAAGTATTGTATTTATTTACTTATGTCTTTGAAATACTTATAGGCTGATCACTATCATCAGATACTCTAGGTGCATAAAAACAATGCATAAAAACAAAAGATAATGATAAAACCAAGTAAAAGAATTAATACTTTACTTTAAGACTGACAGTAATGAATAAGCAAAACAGACAAAGGAACTTAGAGACAAAAGGCAGAGAATAAAAAAGAATAAAATCTTTACTGGATGCCAAAGGACATATAATGTAGCACCAGTATGTCCTTCAGAGGAAGAACATTTCAAAGCCAGGGGTCACAATAGAGAATGGCCTCTCACATGTGCCCACATATTTTATTTTATTTCTTAAGTTTATATAGCTGCCCATCTTGCACAATAGTCCATTTGGGAGGTGACCAGGGCTTGAATAACTGTGAGCAGATCCTCACAATTCAGGAACCAGCACAACTGTTGCATGACTTCATGTGGAGCAAAGGATCTCCTAGCATCCTTTCATCATAATGCATCTCACCTAGCTGTAAAATGAGGAGGAGGTCCTTTGGGGCAGAACTTACATTCAAAAAGAGACAATTAAGGGTTATCATGAGTTAAGCCTTATGGGAGCCATTAAAATATCTGACCTGCTTTGATTATTAAGGCTAATTCCTAACTTCTAAATTCCTTCTAAATTAAACTTAATAGTTCATCTTGCCATTTTCCCTCTAATTAATAATAATGATCAATGGTAAGTTGATCTTTCTTTTCCTGTACTTACTTGTACATGTGATTGCCTGTTTATATTCCCTGCACTCCTGCCATAAGAATTTCTAGCTGTTGATAAAACTTTGGTATCTAGACATACATCTAATTGCTCCCTAAAGCTGCTGAGATTGTATAAAGAGTGCAGAGAAGAGCAAGAAAGATGATTAGGGGACTGGGGGCTAAAACAAAGAATGGTTGCAGGAATTGGATACGTCTAGTTTAATGAAAAGAAGGACTGGGAGGTGATATGATAGCAGTGTTCCAGTATCTAAAAGGCTGCCACAAAGAAGAACCTGAAACCTGAAGCATCTGAAGATAGACAAGAAGCAGTGGATGGAAACTAATTAGGAGAGAACCAACCTAAAACTAAGAAGAAATTTCCTGACAGTTAGAACAATTAATCAGTGGAATGACTTGCCTTCAGAAGTTTTGGGTGCTCCAACATTGGAGGTTTTTAAGAAGAGACTGGACAGTCATTTGTCTGAAACATCATAGGATTTGCTGTTTGAGCAGGGGGTTGGACTAGAAGATCTCTAAGGTCTCTTCCAACTCTGTTATTTTGTCAGTCTGTCTGTCTGTCTGTCTGTCTGTCTGTCTTCCATCCATCCATCCATCCATCCATCCATCTCCAGTTTCTGAAGAGCCTCCAATGCAGAATGTTTCTATTTCATCAAAAAAAGTCTATCAGTTCAGTTTCATAACATTTCTTCCAGCCAAATCATAAAAAGTTCAGTCTGAATGATTTGGTTGATATAAATTTTAATCCCTTCTCTGCAATTATATTATTGTCATGGGGATTTTTTAAAATTATTATCACAGAAACATTAGATACCATCAGAATAGGCCCATCACAAGGATGACGTTAGCTTCTAAAACAAGGGGCACAACTGTTCTGCAGTGTTAAAGTAGGTCTCAGTATCTCCTCCACACCATTTCTCATTGGCAGTGGGATTTAATGGAGGATTGTCTTTAAAGAATAGCCTTGTGTTCATTTATTCACCATTTCTGCCATTCATGCAAATGAAACAGAATTTCTCACAACTGGTATGCTGGCAATCTGGAATACAACTTTTCTTTCCGCTGAGCAACATAAATAATTCAAAGTATAAACATATTTGAATTTCAATTTAAAGGGAGAAATTATTAATTTAAAAGATGACAGTAATACAGTAGAAATGTGCTAACATGGGGAAAAAAATCCCCTCTTCAAAACTGATTTGAATCCTAATTAAGCTCAAGCATTTATCATTTAAAACATTCCCTAAAAGAATGAAGAATAGATTCCAGCTGACAGTCACTTACAGTATAACAAATCTTGGTCATAGGACATAGGATGTTTTCAGTCCTAGTTCACTGGAAAAAATGACTATATTTAGAATATCATATATGATTAAAAAGAGAGATGAACTAAACTAAAAAAAATGTAAAAGAACTCGTGGGATTTTTATAATAATGGACAGAAGTGAGTAACTTTAACCTGCTAATGAAATATACCTTGCAAAAATTACACATTGCCCATATTCGATCAGAGTAAAGAATACTGGCAAAGAAGATGTGCAGATATTATTACATTTAATGAAATATATGGATATCTATACTGTAAATAAACAAAGGGAATATAGTGTACACCTTTGAATATATTTAGATCTACAGGTAGTTCTCAACTTATAACAGTTCATTTAGTGACCTCTCAAAGTTACAACGGCACTGAAAAAAGTAACTTATGACCGTTTTTCAAACTTATGACCGTTGCAGCATCCTTGTGGTCACGTGATCAAAATTCAAAACCTTGGCAACTGACTCATATTTGTAATGGTTGCAGTATCCTGGGATCATGTGATCAGCTTTTGTGACCTTCTGACAAGCCAGGTCAATGGAGAATCCAAACTCACTTAACAACCATATTACTAACATAACAAATGCAATGATTCACTTAACAACTGTGGCAAGAAAAGTCATAAAATGGGGCAAACTCACTTAGTACATGTTTCACTCAGCAACATAAATTTTGGGCCCAGTTGTGGTTGTAACTTGAGGACTACCTGTAATGTGGAAAAATGTAAATGCTTAACATTTTAACATTGCAGAAGAAACCATAACACATTTGGGAATACGTTCTTCTTACCTCTTTGGACATGATTTCCTCAACTTTAACTTCTTCCAAACGCTACTAATTTCAGTGTTAGAGTTATATTCATGATCCAATCGTAAACATTCATAAGGCTACAATTAATTCACATATTGATCTGAGATTAGACTGCAGGCACTCATCTCCTTCTGGACACTCATAATGCATCTCTTTCTAGGATCTCTCAAGCTAGCAAGCGGTTCAGCATACAAATCCAACACTGGAGGTTTTGAAAAAGAGACAGGACAACCATTTGTCTGAAAAGGTATAGGGTTTTCTGCTTGAGCAGGGGTTGGACTAGAAGATCTTCAGAGTCCCTTCCTACTCTTGTTATTTCTGTTAATTTGTAGGCCAAAGCAATTAGATGTAGGGACAGGTTTGTTTGTTTTTTGTCTCAGGCCATCACTCTGCTGAAGATCTAATTCTCACAGTTCTAATATCTGTGTGTATTTATCCATGTACTATGGCTGTAGCATTACTAGTTATCTTTCTTTCTATCCTTCTTTCTCCCCTTTCTTATTGGTATTATTATTATTATGGATCATCGCACAGTCAGCCAGATGTTCAGACTGGATTTGGCATTTAGTCTACCTATTGAGTCCTTACCAAGGACTAGGCAGGTAAGGATAGGCAGATGTGGATGTTTGATGGTATTACTGATATTGTCGCAGGATGGAAGCAGTTCCTAGTAAGGCCGCCTTTTGCAATTGACTAATAGCGAATTTGTCAATGCCAATGGTGTTCAAGTGGTGCTCCAGTTGTTTTGGGATTGCACCCAAGGAGCCTATTACTATTGGTATTATTATTATTATTATTATTATTATTTTGTTTTACATGTACATTGAGAGCTTCTGCCCAGGAGACAAATTCCTTGTGTGTCTAATCACACTTGGCCAAATAAAGAATTCAATTCAACTCAGTTCAATCTGAGGAGGTTGACCAAACATAAAATATGTTCAACTGTGCACACAGCCTGTCTGTTTTTGTGCCATAGAAGCCAAGAAGTGCAAATTTATACAAAGGGACTTTACAATAGCAATGACAGCTCTTCCAAGGATCTTGCAAAGCCATCTGTTGCGAAGCTATGCCAGCTTCCTTCAGATTTTCTCAGTTCTCTCTAAAATAACATATTTCTATAGCTTAGCCTCTAGACTGAGAGCTATCCATAGTTCTCAGCACTTTCTTCTTCTTCTTCTTCTTCTTCTTCTTCTTCTTCTTCTTCTTCTTCTTCTTCTTCTTCTTCTTCTTCTTCTTCTTCTTCTTCTTCTTCTTCTTCTTCTTCTTCTCCTCCTCCTCCTCCTCCTCCTCCTTCTCCTCCTCTTCCTCCTCCTCCTCCTCCTCTTTCTTCTAGAAGAAAGAAAGAAACAAAGAAAAAGAAACTAGCTTTACTTTAGACTGCTTGACTTTTTCCACAATTTCTAAAGTTTGTTTTAGATGATTATGCAGGATGGACATATTAATAATCAGGCACTTTAAAACATTAGAAGAATAGAATAAAATAGAATAGAATAGAATAGAATAGAATAGAGTAGAGTAGAGTAGAGTAGAGTAGAGTAGAGTAGAGTAGAGTAGAGTAGAGTAGAGTAGAGTAGAGTAGAGTAGAGTAGAGTAGAATAGAATAGAATAGAATAGAATAGACCATGGAGGTCTTCTAGTCCAGCCCCCGCTCAAGCAGGAGAACCTATACCATCTCAGACAAGTGACTGTCCAGTCTCTTCTTAAAATTCTCCAGTGATGAAGCACCCACAACATCTGAATGCAAACTGTTCCACTGGTTGACTGTCCTCACTGTTAAGAAATTTCTTCTTAATTCCAGGTTGCTTCTCTTTTTGATCAGTTTCCAACCATTGTTTCTTGTCCTGCCCTCTGGTGCTTCGGAGAACAGTTTGATGCCCTCTTCCTTGTGGCAACTCCTCAACTACTGGAATACTGCTATCATGTCACCCCTATTTCTTCTTTTCTTTAGACTAGCCAAACCCAGGTCCTGCAGCCGTTCTTTGTATGTTTTAGTCTCCAGGCCTCTGATCATTTTAATTGCTCTTCTCTGATTTTTTTCCAAATTCT